AATTTAATATTCACTTACGTTAACGATTACAGTTTATTCAGTTCAAGAAAAAGCTTATTTTAGGTTTTGTCATAACGTATGTCATCGCGTAAGTTTCGGCACAAAATATTTATCCGATTTGTGTACAAAGAAATTTATTTAAGCACTAACTTATTATTTTTTATTTTTTCGCACAACAGGCCGTTAAAGCCTAGGGCATTTTTTTTAACATAATCCTAATATTAACTAATTACAATTATTTTAAACAAAACTTTACCTTAAATATGTATATACAACATTCTTAACTTCTCTGAAGAACATGGTGGACAATATTTCTCCATTCGCTTCTATTTTGTACTTTTCTTTTTCAGTCCCTCACCTTCACGTGTTTAAGGTCTTCCTCCATTTTACTAATCCACCTCGTTCTGGGTCTACCTCGTCTTTTGGAGCCGATTAGTTTTCTGGTTATTACTAGTTTGGGCATTCTGTTGGCTTCCATTGTTTCCACATGTCCCAACCATCTGATTGTTTGTGACTTGACGAACTTGGTAATGGTGGGTTCTTTGTATAAAGCCATTAATTCATTGTTGGTTCTTCTCTCTCAACCATCTTCTGCCTTTCGTCCTCCGAATATGCGTCTCAGTATTTTCCTTTCCCATCTTTCCAGAGTATCCGCTTCCTTCTTATTTAATATCATACCTCACCGGCATTATGTTACTGTGGGTCGAATTACTGTTTTATATATTCTGAGTTTACCTTGTCCAGAAACGTATTTTGAGTTCAGTAGGGCTCTTAAACTACCTAATTTTTTATTCCCCTTTGCTATTCTGGCTTCCAACTCCCATTTTTTTTCCATTTTCATCGAAAACTACACCCAAGTATTCAAATTTGTCCACCCTTTTAAAACTATAGCTTTTACCACTTACAGACCTCACACTAAAGTCTTCTTTTTTCCCTTCTGTTCCTCCCATGATCATATATTTGGTTTTGTCTTTATTTAGTTCCAATCCGAATTTTTGTGCTTCTTCGATGATTTTCTTCGCAACTCTTTTTAATTCTTTCTCGGTTTTTACTAAGATCGTTAAATCGTCACCAAATGCCAAGCACTTGTGCTCATTTTTCATGATTGTTTCTTCCACCTTCATGTTGCTTTTTCTAATTATAGTTTCTAACACTAAGCTGAATCCTGTAGTGGATAAAGGATCTCCCTGTCTCAAGCCTTTTGCAACCGTAAATTGAAATGATATGTGACTCTGCCACGTAATTTCACACTTATAGTTATTTAATGTCATTTTTACTAGCCGGATCAGTTTCTTTGGTATACACAAATGTTCCATTGCTCGATACATTTTGACTCTATCAAATGGTTGTCTAAAATCCACAAACAAAACATGCAGGGGAACTTTACCTTCATAACAAGTCGTTTGTATCTCCTTTAATGAGAAGATTTGGTCTACAGTAGATCTGTCCTTTCTAAAGCTGGCCTGGTATTCATGTAGGATTCTTTTCGTGGAGCAATTTAGTTTATTTCTCAATATTCTTGCTAAGATTTTGTATACCGTATCTAGTAAGGCTATACCCCTATAGTTACACACACTTTAGTTTATCTCCTTTTTTATGCAGAGGGCATATGCGGGCTTCATACCTCTCCAATGGCATTATTTCCTTTTCCCATACTTGCACTAGTAGCTGATATATTTTTCTTTGTAGTTGTTCTCCACCAAACTTGATCATTTCTATGCATATGTCATTTTTACCAGGACTTCTGTTATTTTTCATTTCATGTATTGCTGTCACCACCTCCTCCTCTGTAGGCTGCCTTTCAACTGTCGCATCTTCTCCAACCGTCTAGTTGTCTACTGCTTCGTGGTCCACCTTACTATTTATTAGTTCTTCAAAATGTTTTTTCCATTCCGTCATTATTTCTGCCAGATCGCTAATTAAATTTTAGTCTTTACCTTTCATATAACTACAGTGGCTTTGGTAACCTTTTCCCATCTTTTTAACTTCTTGATAGAACGAGCTCACCTCTTTGTTTTTAAACTTCTTTTCTATCTCTTTTAATTTTATTTTATTGTGGTATCTCTTCTTCCTTCTACACAGAGCTTTCAATCTTCTTCGAATTATTCTATATTCTTTTTTTACACTCTCTATTATCTGTTAATATTTGTTGTCAGATCTTTTTCTTTTTCTTTGCTATCGCCTGACACTCTTCGTCAAACCAATCTTTGTTTATATTTCTCTTGAAGTCGCACTTAACTATTTTCTCGCTAGCTTCTTCTACAGCAGATTTAATTTGTTCCCAGTCTTGATCTGTTTGTAAATTTTGGTCACATTGTTGTAGAATTTTATTTATTTTTTTTATTTCTACTTCCTTAAGTTTTTCAATATTGTACTTTCTCTTCGTTTTATTGTTCAATTTCTCTTTTTCTTCCAGCCTCCTCTCACACGTTTAACGAGGTAATGGTCCGAGTCGATTTCAGCTCCTCTCATACTTCTTACCTTCTGAATAATATTTATATATTTACTTTCAATCATCACATGATCTGTTTGATTCACCGTCCTTCCATCTGGGGAGACCCACGTACCTTTGTATATCTCTTTTCATTTTAGTTGTGTGCTTCTCACCACCATGTTTTTCTCCATGGCAAATCCAATAAGTCTTTGAACATTATCGTTTGTTACTTTGTGTTTACTATAGTTACCAGTTACTGCAGTTTACAGAGGTTCTTTTCCCACTTTAGCATTACAATCACCCATTATTATTTTTACATCACGTATATGAAGGCGTTCGTATTCAGCATTTAGCTGCTCATAGTAACGATCTTTTATTTCGTCGTCCTTGTCTTCTGACGGTGCATGAATATTGATTATACTCCAATTCCTTTTCTTACTTTTAATTCGTAATGAACACATCCTATCAGAGATAGGGTTAAAAGCTATCACTTTGTCCTTGATACATTCAGCTACTAAAAAACCAGTTCCAAGCATTCTATTTTTACCTACACATTTGAAGAGCACGATATCTTCTATATCAGTTATTTCCGATCCTAATTGTTTTTGCGACTTTTTGTGAAAGCACGTTGTAACTCTTCCTCTTGATCTCCTTTTCTTTTCTTGTCGTTTTCATCTATTGTGGTACCGTCGCTTTCGAAATCTAAATCCGAAATTCGAAAACGATATTTGTCCCTATCTCCACTGCTCATTAAAAATATTTTATTTCACCGCGATAAAAGTCTCGCTCGGATCGTCTCCTCTGAAGCTTAACTCTTCTCTGTATAACGTGTTAATTTATTTTCTTTATTTATGTTAATAATTGTATTGAGCAGTATATACTATTTCGAATCTCCCTAGTTACTTCACTTCTCTGTCGACTTGGCAACACCGCTTCCAAATCAATCAAGGTTCAATCAAGTTCGACCCAATATTGGTGACGTTTTTATTGCTTATGTGTTTATTCTTACCTGGTATTTTTGTCAATTTCGAACACACTTTGAATGTTCTGATTATTATTTTTCACTATGCGCTAAGATTACTTACTTAACTTTCTACTTTATACTTTAGATATAATTGATTTACTCTGTATTTCGCGAAAAATCAGGTTTAATACAGGAGTAAATACAATTTAATATTTACACATTTAGCGCTGCGTTGCCAGTAATCTAAGTTATCACTAACCAGTTATCATAAATTACAACTTAACAATTAACTAAACTATAGTATCGAATTATATTGAGTGGCCCTTTTCTCTCTACGAGAAGCCAATTTCTTCGAATGTCTCTCATAAGGTCCTGGACCAAACTCAGATCAATTACTTTCAGTTTTTCGTAAATTTGCTGCATTATTTGTTTTTCATATTGGGCTTTGCAGCCTCCATAGTAAATAGTTCGTCGATAGTTTTCTAGAGAGTGAAGCCCAAAATTCCTCCAATGGGCTAGCCTGTGGTAAGTTGAGGGATTATGGTTTTTGGAAAAAACATGGTGCTGTCAAAGCCAGTTTAGGGTATCTCTAAAGTAATAGCATGATGCTAGGTCTAAACAAAACATGACATCGTCATCACCGTGATGTTAAAACTTTTTTTGAGTGATGCAGGGTAAGCTGCTATTTCGTTGTTCCATCCATGCCCGAGTCGAAGTGGTCCTTAAGTTAAACTTATTTTCCACAGCAGTCTGTACTGTTTTTATTGGCGGTCGTCTGGAGCGTACACGATTACCGTTGGCAGCATCTACATCTTGATGGATTGGCAGTAACTTGTTACTAAATATCTTTCTGAACTTTCTAGTGAAAATGTGTATGCGCCGTAATTTGGGTGGTAGAATGTGACTTAGTACTGGGAGCTATTGCGTAGGGGTGAATTTGACATCACTAGCAATCATTCTGATTGTATTATTTAACTGGATATCTACTTTGCATATATGTGAGCTGTTAAGCAAGGCTAAAGAGCAAATAAAACAAGGCCCAGGGCAGATGATCACAAGGTGGAAGCCGATGCTGCTCATGTTGTGCCACGCAGCTTCTGGATAATGTTGTTTTTGGATTTAAGTTTTTCTAGATTTTAAGTATTCCTTAAAAGGTAGGGTGCTGTCAAGAGTCACCCAAGGTACTTTGGTGTTTTATGGTGTTATTTAGGTTGAAACTGAAAACCTCTGTTTTGGAAGCGTTTGGTTGGAGCCTCCATTTTCGAATATTTTTTTTTCACTGTATATAAGCCCGTCGTGAGGATTTCTTTTGTTTCTTTAAATGACTTATACCTTGTTGCAAGAACCCAATCATTCCCGTTACCAAACTTCCTTGATCTGGTTTTTGGTATATCAGCGATGTAAAGGCTAAAGAGAAGAGAAGCTAGGACATATCCCTGATTTTTCAGTTTTCTTGGGGTGCTGATGTCAGTTCCTATGACTACTTGAATCGTTCGGTCGGCTACAATGCTGTTGATAATTCGAGCGGTTAATTTACAGATACGTAAAAGCTTATATATCATGCCTTATCTCCAGCCTGTCTCGTAGGCCCCTGTTAGATCTATGAATGCAGCTGCAGTTTTAAGTTTTCTCTGGAACGCTGCCTTAATAAATCTGGTAAGTGAAAGAACCTGATCTGCGCATTTGACTAGGCAAGGTCGCAAACTTGCCTAGTCAACCGATATTGATTCAAGTAGTTTTGGACTAATTAGCTTGTAGATAAGTCGTGCTAGTAGCTTGAAGGTCACTCATAGTAAGGTTATTGTTCTGTAGTTCTTAGGGTTGGTATTATTTGATTTCCCTGGTTTTAATATGGCAATGATCTTCGAGCGTTTGGTTCCTGTAGTATGGTAACGGTCTTCATAATGATTGTGAAAAATTGGTCCATCCTTCTCTCGTATATTTGCCGTTTTTAATTAAGAATTCGGGATGAATATTCTCAAAAAAAGCATTTCTATGCGTTGTAAGTATAAAATTCATCATTTTCCTTCATCTCAGAATTACTTAAAGTAAAGACGCTTGGAAGTATTTGGAAAACGCCAGCGCATCTCCCTGTCGCAGCCCAACATGCGTTTTAAATGCCTGTGATTGTGTATTTCGACTCAGCTTTGGGTACAGTATTATTTTTTAACTTTGTTTTTATGTCGCAACTATTTATCTTTCTCAAGAGTTCATGCTTTGTCCAAAGTATTTTAAATGGGTATGCAAATTATTTTTAAGTTATTTATTTTTAGGGAAAAATGAAATTGACTCCATTTTATGTTTTGGTTAGTTTGCTGTCCCTTTCATCAGCTGTAGTTAGATATGATAATTATACATTGTATAAAATATTTCCTAAATCTTCTGACGAACTTAAAGTTCTTCAAAACTTACAACGGTCTAAGGAGTATAAATTGGATTTCTGGAGGGATCCATACAGAGTAGGAATACCTATTAGTGTACTGGTTTCGCCAGAAGAAAAATATAATTTTGAAAATATCATTAGTAGAAGTAATGTAGAGTTTCAAGTTCTAAATAGCAATATTCAAGAACAAATAGATGAAGAATCTAGATTAAATAGGCTTCGGAGTATACAGCAAGGTAATTTGACATGGGACAGATACTATGATTTGGAACATGTAAGTTAACATTTTTTTACTAATAAAAATGTATAACAATATGATTAAAAATAATATAAATGGTCACTCAACTCGGCAACCTTTTTAATAAGTTCCTTCTTTTTCACGTGCCACACTAGAATTATCCGCCGTTGGCGATCACCATTTCGAAGGTATGGCATCTTCTGCCACGTGGCATAATTGTCATGCATTGGAGATCTGAGTCCATTCATAAATGTTTTTTGACCAAAAAACCTGTTTTCTTCCTACAGCTCTACGGCCTTCTATTTGCCTTTATGGATCAGTTGTAATAGAAAACTCTCCTCTATAATACAATAGGTTTCTCTCGACCAAAAAACCATTTGTTCTTCACATTTTGGCCGTACTTCATAAAATCCAAGTATAATCCAGTTTATATGCTTTAGCTTTGTTTTCAAGCTCTACAAGTATTTTGTCCTTTATCAGTGTTCAAGTGATATATTTTTGCATAAACCACATCCTTTACTTTGTTGTTTGTAAAGGTTGCCTGGTTGACTCCAAGGATTCTAAGCACTTTCTGTCCCCTTACATCCGAACTGCTACCAAAGCTTGGTTTTATTGGATTGCCGGAGACTGAAGGCCGAAGGCCTTGTATTTTCTTCGTTTATCATTTTACAGGGTTTTTTGGCAATTCCGCTCCTACGGTGGCCTGTACGGGTTAATAAAAAGATGTTAGGATGAGTTAGGAAGTTTGATATCATCGACAAGGGTGATAGGTAAAGACATAATATCCTCTCGATTAAAGGAAGTGAGAGTGAACAACGGCTCAGGTAAATAGGGTTGCGACCCTGAAGTAGACCTAACTTTACCGGGATTGAAAAGTGTATCTACCCGCTATCTGTGTATTAAAATTTACAGTATATTAAAATATATTTAGGTTATCACTCTTTCTTTAAATGAAGTATGAGTTAATGTATCTGATAATCTCCTTTTCTTGCTTTCCCATCCAGTCCGACTTCTAGAGCTACATACAAAAGTTTTCTAAATTTTTGTATTTCAATTATACTAACTTAATATCTATTGGTACTTACATACCACAATTTATATTTGTCACTTATTTCTTTTGCATGGAATTTTACTCTTCTTGTTTTAAGCGCATCTTACAACTCCATACCATTTGGTTTAAAAAAAATCCATTGTTTTGACGACTTTTCAATAAAGTTGAATTAGGTTAAACTTGAGATTTATCATTTTTAAGTCAGATTGGTTATGCTTCTTTGAAGAAAAATGATGATTAGTTATTGTCGAAGTATATTTTTAAAAATTAAAACGATTTTGCTGCGACTTACTCTAAAAATTTCTACCAGTAGTAAAAATTTTAATTTTTATTAAACCATTTATTTAATCTAAATATATTTTTTTGTTATTAGATAAACAACTGGTTAAAAAAATTAGCAAAAGACCATCCAGACTTTAATTAAAGGAGGAATATCCTTCGAAAAAAGAGACCTTTTGGGAGTAAAAGTAAGTTTTGGAGAACAAAAAGGACGACGAAGCGTTTGGCTTGATTCGCAAATACATGCAAGAGAATAGTAAGTTTAAAAACAAGATCTAAAGTATAAAAATCATGAATGTGTTGTTTGTGTGAGTCCATTTCAAATAGGTAAAGAAATAATAAATAAGACGTACTAACAATCAATTTAATTTAACTATCAGACGACCGGTTTCGCTTTCTATAATATGCAAAGCATCTTCAGGTCTCGATACAAAGTTAAATAAATGATGCCGGTACTCTATTAATTAATGGAAGGTACAACATGGTTGAAACTACTATGTATTGTTGAATGGAGAACTCAATTCTGCTATTGTAGTTGTTTGACAGTAAACGGGAAGTTCTTGAGGAGATAGATTTGATCCAATGAAGCAGAGATATGTGTGTGATTATTTATTAAATGAAAGTGATGTTATATACCATTGTATTATTTAAAAGTTATTTATACTTATTCGAGAGATATATTTATGAAATGTGTGTTATTTATTGAGTAATTGTGTTATGAAGGTGACAGTTTTATGACAATGAATAAATTTAGATGTACAAATTGTGTGGGTGTGCAATTATTTTTCAACTTGTAATTATCAAATTTCTTTGATAAAGTCCTATTGGCAAAATAGTAGATTATTGCAAAGCCGAGTAAATAAAATATTAGAATTAAAACAATTAAGGACAATTTAAAACACACTAACACAGAAAACATTTAGAAGGGACGAAACAAACATTAAATTTAAAAGGAGATGGACTTTTATGCACTACATCTCAGTCTTAGGCACAATGAGTTTTTTATGATAATCATAATAATTTTCCGCAAATCGCCAGGAAATTTTGACATTCCTGTCAAAATTTCTTGAAGAAAAAGTCAGGACTTCCTTACTGTAAGGAAATGTCATTTCCTTACTGTAAGGAAATGATATTTCCGTACAGTTGTTAGTGTTCTACATAAATGATAGAAAACACATTGCTTATAAGGAATTAATTTATATTTTGAAAACATCAAGTCATTGTTGAATACATTTTTAAGATCAATTTGTTATATTTACAGTAATTTGACAGTTAGTACAATTATTGAACATTGGAGGAACACTCTTAGAACTATGAGAAACATTTTGGATAACATGCAGGGTGGAAGTGTCATTTTGTTGAATATTTTGTACTGTGAAAATTTTATTTGCCACCTCAACCTTATTGTTAAGCGATTCTTCGATATATCCTTCAGCAACGTTTGATGACTTCCATCCGCCATGCCTCTTTAAATTAGTTATGTCGGCACCAGAGTCAACCAATATTGTTGCAGAAGACCGACGAAAGCAGTGACCAGTATATTCTGTCGGATTTACCAAGTTCAAATAAGTAGCAATTATTTTGGTGCATTTTTCTAAATTGATGAATTCCTACCACTTGTCTACAACCCTTTCCGCTTTGATATTTAAAGAAAAATCGGTCACTGTTCATGTTTTCTGGTCTTAACGAAACATACTTTCGATAAACATTCAAGTAGATCTGATTAATTACAAATGATCTTGGTTTGTTGGTTTTCGAATCAGGTATGCTGATTAAAAGCTTAGATTCTAAGTCTTCTATATCGTGTACAGTCATTCGGACTAACTCATCCATTCTACAGGCCCCAGAAATACCAAATATTACAGCCACCTAAAAAATAAATAAAGCTATAATCTAAATAGAAATTAAAACCTTGTAAATTACCTTAATCATTAATTTTCTTTATCTGGAGCTTCCTGGATAAATTTTTCAATTTCTTCCTTCGTTAAAATCTTAGATTTCTTTGCCCTATAACCTTGAGCTTGCCGTTTCAATAAAGAACGAAGTTTTGAGTATGTAGATATATCTACATTGTGTTTAAGTGCAAGGGTTGACTTCAGCATTGAATAATTGGTCCATAATGTTGAAGATTTCATCTTTAACATTTTCTGAGAAAGAACTCGTATTTTTACTCATGCGATAATCCATAAAACGTCTGTATGCATTTTCGTACTTTTCTCTTGATTTCTTTGGCAACAATTCTAATGAAGCAGTATTCACTGCCTCAACCAGCTCTGGAGGAGTCCCAGGAATGGAAATTTCATCATCACTTATCATTTTACTTTCGAGAACACCAGCAATTAAATTTATAAGCGTCAAGTTTGACAATTCAACCTCAATACGTTTCCATAGTAACCCAAGTAATTTTATTAGGAATTTCAAAGCAGCATTTATTTGGGAATAAAATTATCTGTCGAAATATCTGTCGAATTTTAAACGATTTGCGGAAAAATAGTATGTTTACCTCGTAGGAAAAGCCACATTCCTGGACTCTGTGTTGCTAAGTGTCGGCTTGCGCCTCGACTTAGCAATCTTCACAGTCGTTCAGGAATGTTAAGCTTTTTCTACCCGGTAAACAATGTACTATTACATCGGCCTTGGTAAAATTACCATACAGTGCTTATGAGAGTCCATAGACTTACGAACTTTCCAAACAATAAAGTATTAATCTTTCTCAGTAAGAATCATGACCAATCTCTGTTTCGAAGTATTACATGCAAAGATTATAATTACTACTATAAAAATTAATAATAAACACCCCAGTCTTCTGGGTTAAACCGAGTTGATATTTCGACATCCTCTCTGATGTCTTCTTCAGGGCTTATGAAGTCTCAGTCTCCCGAGCCCCCAGAAACTACTACACTCATCAATATTTATTTCACTATTATCACTGGGAACAGGGGACAGTTTATTTATACCGTCAAACATGTGACGTGGCATGGGTAAAGGTTGGCGTAGGGGTTAGCATGGGGATTGACGGGGGAATTGGCGCGAACATTTCTGACAGTATGATTTTGATTCGAGGATGGAGGGGACGACATTTTTTTTATGAGAGGTCTCCATATAGAAGGTAACCGTATGTCGTCATCTCTTTTATTAAGACAGTTTGACATTTTTTAAATTTCTATGGCTTTTCGGATAATTCTTGGTTACTACTTTAGTTAGTAAAATGCATAAGAATTAACAAGAATTATATAATTAATAAACTTGATGTAGAACTAAGCAATTATAAATACAACATTGCTGATAAATTAAAATTACTACATATTTTATTATTCTCATGTTTATTAATTATTTTAAGGATTTCGGGTTCCACCACAACATTCATTTTAAATGAAATATTGCACAGCAAAGACCCTGCCATTAGAGCTATGGCCGAGAGTCACGATTGGTACATCTTTCCCGCTATAAACCCAGACGGATTTGTGTATTCACACACTGAGGTATTTAATAAACAAAACTAATGTGTTTATAAACATTTTAAATAACAAATAATGATAGTTTTTGTTAAATTTAAATCTCTACTATGTGATTAGAATCTTCGCTACAGGATGATTGACTGCTATGTGTGGTATTATACGGCATAAAGTTATGGACGTCAAAAATATCTTTTAATGCCTAACTGCTTTTCTTTATAGGATCGTATGTGGAGAAAAACGCGTAGTGACTATGGTACAGGCTGTAAAGGTACCGATGCTAACCGTAACTGGGGATACAAATGGAATGAGTTAGGAGCAACTAACAATCCGTGTGACCGTTTATATGCTGGACCTTCTGCTTTCTCTGAGATTGAAACTAAAAGTTTATCTGAATATATGAGCAAGGTAGCAAATGAAATACTACTTTATATATCATTTCATTCATATGGGCAATATATTCTATTACCTTACGGTCACACTAGGGATCATTTGGATAACTACGATGGAGCTGTAAGTATATTTTCATATATATTTTACTATATAATTTTATGGGTAAATATATGGGTATACTTCATCTAATTTAGATAACGACGTAAGTCGTCAGAGATCGAAGTTGACATAGTTGCCAAAGTATAAAAAAATCCTGACTCCATTTTAAATCAAATTGGTCACATAATTATTGCAAAAGTATTACCATCTCTTTACAACGACTATTTAAATTCTTACGTGACATTTTTGAAATAAAACACACTAATTTTGTTCTAAAAAGAACAGATTTTATTAAATAGGTAAAAATATAAAACAAGAGGTATTCACTTTAAAATTTAAAATAATAAAGTACAAAAAGTGTAAACACCGCAACTGTCAAATAAGTGTTACCAATTTTATTTATGCCAAAATTTTACCTCCGTTCGATTACAGTTACAATGTGTTCCGAACAAATGTTCTTGATAAAAACTCTTTATAATGGATCTATACAAATTAAATGAAACATATTATTGTATATTTCTTTAAGTTAACATTAATAGAAATTTTAAATATTATTTCAACGCGTATATAATAAAATATGTCTAGTGGCTGTAATGCCAGTGTACTCGGTAAAGTGATTCTAAAAAGAACACACCTAAACCCTAAATATTTCGTGTTGGTATCATATGACGTCACAGGCTGTGACGCCGATGACGTGCATCGTTATATAAATTAGATGAAGTGTATATGGGTATTACTATTACATAGGTTTTTAAGTATGTAACGTCATATCTTATTCATATTGTACAATCTGTATTTTAAATTTCATTGATTTCATGGATGTGCAATTAAAAAAATGTTGTAAAAATCTTCTTTTTACTGTTTTGATCTGTTATTTATTATTTACTTATCAATATTAAAAATAAATGTGTTATTCAGGTTTGCTATTTGTATTATCTTAGAAGCATCTACACTGGGTAGTAGACTGATACCTTCTGCAGGTATCCTGTTTTAGTGAGGCTTTATAATTAGATTTTCTCGATATTTCTCCATTTGTTTGTTCTTTATATCAAACGTCAATCTATCTATCTATCTATACAGCCCTAAACATTTATCCTTGGATATAGGCCTCCTTCTCCTTCTTCCATACCTCTCTATCTTGGGCAATTTGCGTCCATTTTGATCCGGCGTGTTTCTTCAGATCATCTGACCATCGCATTTGTGGCCTTCCCCTTTTTCGTTTTTGATTCCATGGTCTTCAATGTATAATTGTCTTAGTCCATTTTCATCTTTCTGCCTTAGGGTGTGTCCGGCGAACTTCCATTTAAGCTTTCCTACTTGGGTTGAGACATCTGTCACTTTTGTTTTATTACGGATCCATTCGTTTCTTTTTCTGTCTGATAGTTTAATGTTCAGCATTTGTCTTTCCATGGATCTTTCTGTCTTTGCTATTTTTTCCATATTTTCCTTTGTAAACGTCCATGTCTGAGAGCCATATGTGAGGACAGGGAGTATACATTGACTGAAGACTCTCGTTTTTAGGTATTGGGGGTATTTTGAATTCTTTAGAATATAAAACAGTTTTCCGAATGATGTCCAGGCCAATCTTATTCTTCTCTTTATTGCTTCGGTCTGATTTTCTTTATTTAAATTAGTGATTTGGCCTAGACATATATACTCTTTTACTTATTCTATTCTTGTTAGTGCCACTGTAATTATTAGTTCTCCAATTAGTCCAATTTTTGTCGATTTTCTATCTAGTTCTTCCATCATTCTTTGTAAATCTTCACTTTTTTCTGTTAATAATACAATATCATCAGCATATCGTAAATCATTCAGATTTTGTCCGTTTATGTTAATTCCCAAGCCATCCCAGTGTAGTCGTTTGAAAACATCTACTAGCGCTGAGTTGAATAGCTTGGACAAGATGGTATTTCCTTGTCTTACTCCTCGGTTTATTTTAATTGGCTCCATTTGTTTCAATAGCTTAATAGTTGTTGTTGCCTTGTTGTATATATTTGTAATTAGGTCCGTATATCGGTAGTCTATTCTGCTGTTTTGTAGAGAATTCTGTACTGCCCAGTGTTCCACACTATCAAATGCCTTCTCCAAGTCAATAAATGCCATGTATAGCGGGATATGATTCGTTAGTTTTTTCGATTAAAATCTTCATCGTTAAAAGGTGGTCACTTGTACTGAAGCTCCTTCTAAATCCGGTTTGTTCTCTTGCCTGGTATCCATCTAATTTAGTTGTTAATCTATTTCTTAATATTTTGGTTAATAGTTTGTACCTAAAATTTAGTAAAGTTATGGGTCTGTAATACTTTAGATCCTTTTTATCTCCTTTCTTAAATAGTAACAGTGTTATTTCTTCGTTCCAACCGTTGGGTATTTGTTTTGTCATTAGTATTTTATTCATAAGTATGTACAAACCTTCTCTAGTTGTTTTCCCACTATGTTTTAGCATTTCTACAGTCACCCCGTCTTTTCCTGGCGATTTATTATTCTTCATTTTTTTGAGTGCTCTTCTTAAGAGTGCTCTTAAGAAGAGCACTCAAAAATCAAACGTCAATATTGAGATTAAAAATAACGTCAATGATTAAGACTATGTGGTGAATGTACCTTATATAGGAAATGTGTGTCTGGTTTTCACACCATCCTATTATGTATTGTGAGCTGTAGACCTATCCAAAATATCTTTTTATTTGCTTTGTTACATATATTCGTAATCTTATCTTAATCTACCACTACAAGCACACGGACTGACAGTCCGCGTTTGATTAAAATACAAAATTGCTGGCATAACTCCCTCTATTTTCACTCTTTATCCTCTCGGCTGTATTATGTTAGTCTATAATCTAGACTGAGAAGTTAGTACGTTAATTTGTTTCCAAATGCGGATTGAGAGTCCGCGCGCATATACTGGTGTAACTGATATTTATTAACAAAAGCTGAGATCTTTTTTTTTCAACTTATATTATTTTAGTTAGTATGTGAGCATATATTCCCAGAATATGACCATATTACATCAGTGAGACCAGGACTTCCAATACAACATTTGGGAGATTTAATGGATGGATAGTCCATCAGTACTACAGGAAGATTTGTTTTTAATACTTCTGATTGCTCAGTTCAGATTTGTCAACTGGTCTCATAAAGAATGAATTCGAAACCTTTTTTGAATTGGAGATATAGGAAATATAAATTTGTTGTGGCAAAATAGCTGATGTTATATTTTTACGCACATTAAAGAAGTATTCATTTAGATTTTCATGGTTTGGAAGGGGGGTTTTCCTTGCATCATTTTTAGAGCTTCCCATATGATTCTCATAGTACACTTTTTTAGCTGGTTTGATAAGTTTTAGTTAGGTTCCTCTGTACTTGAAGATATATTTATTCATCATATAGTAAAATCTAGTGTTGGGGTTTTTAGGTCACGCAAGCGCCCCTAACATGACTTAACGACTATTTTGATAGCCGGGACCGACGGCTTTGCGTGCCCTTCGAAGCACGGTAATAGCTTAGTTAAATTAGAAATTGAAAATTTTGTCAGATATGCGTGGTATGCGGATATCTTTGATAGTCCAGGGTTTGTGATGATTTAACTTAATTGTAATTAAAGAAAATGCCTTAATGAAAATACTGACAAGCTTATCTAAAAAATCACTCAAATTATAGTCCACGTCGACAAAGGGAAACTGACTTAGAAGTTAAGCACAAATTTTGGAATTTACGATAGTTCTGAGCGGAAAAAATCCTACCTAAATGTTGGGTTTTCGAGGATTGTTTATTAAGAGTGTTAACCTTGGTATATACTGCTTCATGGTCAGAGACTCCTGCATTAATAATCGTAGAACGTACATCAAGGAGTGAGAAATCTGAGTCCATTATAATCAATTAGGGTAGACGTTGTTTTAGTAATTCTTGTAGGAGAATTAACGTGCATTGTGAAACCATGCGATTTGAATATATTGACCAAGGATAAATGGGTAGCACAAATAACAGCGTCATTAATATTCAAGCCACCGCATATAATTTTTCTGCATTTATTGGGCAGTTCGTCTAACAAATTTAACATGTTCTGAAAAATAGTTCCGTGAAAGAACCAAGTGATCCACAAACGCAAAGATTGTATAGATTAAGATTCTTGTTATAAACAAATGAAAACTCAAAAAAGGATCCATTCAACAGGGCGTCATATTTTGCTATAGGAGAGAAATTCTTATTTGTAGAAAGAATTAGGGTGTCACCATGAGCTGAACTTGGACGATCATACCTAACAATAATTGTAGTATATTTTTCTACAAAAAAATGCTCGTTAACTTCAAACCAGTGCTCGCTAACCGCAACTATCTTTCTGAACCTTTTATTAATCCACCATTTTTCGAGAATTAATGAGTACTGTAACTTTCGAGAAACAATGGGTGTTGTAGTTTAAGTTTGAAGCTACATAAATTGTTGTATTTTGGAAAAGGGTGAAGCAATAAAAAGCAATTTATTTCTTATTTTAGTATAAACTAGCAAAGAGAGCTGCCAAATCGTTAGCTGTAAGATACGGAACTAAATATCGTGTTGGAACTATAGCAGAGGAACAGGGTAAGTTCAATAATTAGTAATATTAGTACATCTTTGATTTCAGCATCATTAGTAATTAGAAAACATAGAAATAGGTTAAGTGATGAATCAACCAGATGGTTACTTTGTATTAATTCTTGGTCTTGGAAGATACATTAACATAATTAAAAACATATATGAAAATGAACTTTGAAAATAGGCTATTATCGAGCACAAGTTAATTAAATCTAGCCCAAGTACTTTCGCTTAAAACTAGCATCTTCAGGGGCATTTCGTCAAAATAAGAACTATCCGGCAAGCGTAGATTGTGGAAATATTAAAAATAACATAAATTATACAAAACACTACACTAAAACGAGGATAAACAGTTTAAAATTACTTCTACGCTACATTCTCTGTCAGTATCTGGATGGATGAAAATGCCACCATGCATATAAAGCTGGACGAAAGCACAAAAACTAATCCCATAAGACTACAACGGGGAGTAAGACAAGGAGACACCATCTCTCCCAAACTATTTACCCTTGCCCTAGAAGATATTTTTAAGAAACTG